TCCCTGAGCCTCACCCTCTGGGATCTGCCCGAGAGGAAGGAATGGAACACCTGTAGAGCAGTGCCTCCGATTCCTAATTCTCTCAGGCGATCCAAGATGATGGCATGATCTATAGTATCAAAAGCTGCTGAGAGATCCAAGAGCACCGGCAGGGTCACACTACCCCTGTCAATGCCCAGGCGGAGGTCATCGGTCAGAGCAACCATGGCAGTCTCAACTCCATATCCTGTCCTGAAGCTGGTTTGAAATGGATCAAGATAATTGGTTTCATCCAAGACTGCTTGGAGTTGGGGAGCAACTGCCCTCTCGATCACCTTGATTAAAAAGGGAAGCAAGGAGACTGGTCTGTAATTGTTTCTATCCAGGGGGTCCAGGGAAGGTTTTTTCAAGAGTGGCTTAACCACCACCTCCTTTAAATAAGATGGTATACTGCCTTCCCTGAATGACACGTTGATTGTGTCCAGAAGGAACACCTTCAACGCGTCCCCTCCCTGGGCAACCAGCCATGATGGACATGGATCGAGGGGGCAAGTCGTCTTCCTCACCCTTCCAAGCAGCTTGTCCACGTCATCGGTACTCACAGATTGCAATTGATCCAGTAAAATGCCATCAACGGAGTTACTGGATGCCTCGTCTACAGATTCTGCCAGAATACTGGCGTCCAAGTCGACTCTTATCCGAGAGATTTTATCTGCAAAGTAGATATTAAACGCCTTACAGCAGGCTGTTGTTGGGTTAAGTAGGGGGTTTGGTGCAGGGGGAACCTTCATCAATTCCCCCACCACCCTAAACAGCTCTGCCGGGCGGGACTCTGCAGACGCAATATGTGCAGAACAGAAAGATTTCTGCGCTGCACGTAAAGCCTCCCTGTAGGAATCAAGATGCGTCCTAAGGCAAGTTCTGTCAGATAAGAGATGAGTCCTTCGCCATTCGCACTCTAGTCATTGTCCAACCCACTTCATCCTCCTAAGCTCCTCTGTATACCAGGGCTTATGGTTTGAAGTAGGCCGGAAAGGACGCTTGGGAGCGATTGTGTCAATAGCCGTGGTGAGATCGGTGCTCCAAGTATCCACCAAGGCTTCGACAGAATCACTGGCGTTACCAACCATTAAACCCTCTAAGGCTTTCTGGAAACCAATTGGTTCCATTAGCCTTCGAGGGCGGACCGTTCTAATGGGTCTCCACCCCCGGGAGGGCGAGCAATAGTCTTTCGTTCCGTCTTGATCAGAAAATGGTCCATCCATGACAATGTGGAGG